GTATATAACATACATATACCTATATACATATATATATTTAAATATACATAGAGATTATAAAGAATATACCTCTTGGTCTTGTGTTCTTTTTATCGTACGCAATTTGTACCAACGTGCCGTTTCAATTTCTCGTTCGAGTTGTTTAGTCGAGCCCTTCTTTTTTTCCTCCACCAGCACCTCACACCACCCCCTTTATATATATATATAGTTTTTTCTTTTCCCTTTTTTCATTCTCTTCCCTCATAACGCGTTACTAACCCGACCCGCTTTGTTTGGAATTCATACCTCTCTCTACCTTCATTTTACTTAACCCTGGTCGGATCTTCTTACCTTGCCACGTCATTTATTTTTCAAAGCGTATCAATTTCAATTTGTAATTTTCTCTTTCTCTCTCTTATGTTCGTGTGTTTATCCTATTCTCTTGATTTTCTAAATATAGAGATATTTTAATAAAGTTGCTAAAGTTGTTCGTACAAAACTTCCTAGTACATATACATATACCGTAATAACAAAGTTCAATAAAGTATAAGATTTCCTTTAAATAATATTATTTATTCACCATAACTTGATATATATATATATATATACTATATATTACAGATAGGTATTTCTATATATCGTGCGTGCTAAAGATGAGGTTTCTACTGTTTCGTTGTTCGGCTTTCGTATATCACGTTTCCTCGAAGAACGACGTAATTAATACAAACTTTAGTCGTTTAGAAGTTTGTCTCTCTCTCTCTCTCTCTCTTTCTCTAGTTAGTTGGACGGTTTGGTTCAGGTTAATGCTAGGCTCCTATAACTCTACAACTGTTTGCTAGCACATTCCTATTTGTATTTACCCGACTCGAAGACTATACAGTTCTTGTTCTCGTCGGAGGATAGGAATAAGTAGAAAAAAGGTACATAATACAGAAAGAGAAAGGTAGAAGAAAAAGGGACAAACGGGGCACTGCATTATACGCAACATTGGTACGACACAACTACTACCATTTGGTAAGCTTGCTCGACGTATGATTTACTGGTGGCGCTTGAATGCAGCCTCAGAGTACGTTTTAATGGACGCCTGAAATCCATGGAACAGTACGTCCCGTTTATGTCTCGGAAAAAAGTCAAGAAAAAATATTTCCAAAGGAAATTGGACGAAACGAAATATCCTTTCTAAAATCTCATTGTCAGAGGAAAGACAATTTATTCGATTATTTTGATAATATTAAACAAAAAAAACTAAATCATGTTAAATGATAAAATTTAACAAATTATGATAACAAACGATGATGATGATGAGGGCTAATTGTCTCGTTAAACTACTTATCCTTTTTTTTTTTTTATTGGTTAACAAAGTTTCGTTTATTTGCCCTAGAAAAAGAATTTAGATTCTCAAAGGACAATAATTCTCTAATAGTCTTCCAGACGGGCAAAGTTTGTTGGATCTTTTAGGGAGGAACGGACTTTATAGGTTACTACGGTGTAAAAGATAAAAGGAGAAAAGTTTCATGGGCTTTTACTTTAAGAAGTTGAGACCCTTTTCTCTTCTATCTATCTCTCTCTTGTCCTTCGCCTAACAAACTTTCTCCAATGCGCGTCACTGGATTTAATAGGCGCGTGTTCTTTATCGGATATGTCGTATTCCTGAGCTTTTGTGCGAATCTACACGTAAAATACATACGTGTGGGGCTTCGTTTTATCCATAACTTTACCTTTAAAACCCCTCTGTGTGGTGTTACTTTACCAACTTTACTTTACCATTCTCACAGTTGGGAGATTTTTTTCACCTTATCGTTGCCGTTACTTTCTCTTCTAAATAGCTTTGATAACATACAAAATCCAATTAGAGATTTCAACGTGAGATTATTTTGAAAAGCGAGAAGAACATTTTTTTTCTTTTTTACAACTATGAAACTTTTACAATCTAAAGATTTGTTATTTCTATGTAACGTAACAAGGGTGAATAAAAAGGAATTAATGAATCAATAAAACACTAATTAAGGCTCAATATCATTTTCTTTTATCGAAAGATTTGATCTTTCTCTCTCTCTTTCTCTTTTTTTCTTTTTTTTTCCACTTTCCTTTCATTTTCTTCTCCTTTTTTCTTTCTTTTAAAAGTAACCAACCGTAAGATATCTAATCCGACGACGGAACACTCATAAATCGTGTACAAATGGGGACTCTAAGTCAAGCGAAGAAAAACGGAATATTCTTGCTGCTGCTGCAGTAGTTTCAATCTTGCACGTTTTCCTCGCGCGTCTCGGCCGCTTATTCTCGTGCTAAAAGTATCACTGACCTAGAAAAAAAATTTCGTCTCCCTTTACTTGCTGTGCACAACGGGGAAATACATATTTCGTGTGTGAAAGGATACGTAGTTTACATTTTTTTTCCTAACCCTTTATCCTGTTTTGTCGAACTTTAACTTTTTGATTCGATCGTTGGTTCCTCTTAACTAATTTTTTTTTTCGATTTTCTTATAACAAAGATAAAAATTATAAATAAATTAATCAAAAGTAAGAAAGATATTATTTTTGTCTGTTTTTTTTTTTACGTCCTTGTTTCGCGCATCTTCAAATATAAAAATGAACGCGAAAGATAATAATAATTGAAATATTAATATTGTAAAACACATTTTTTTTTGTTCTTTATATTTTCTCCGGGAAAGAAGAAATAAAAGGTCGTAGAGAAACACCACCGTAACACTTTCCAAATTGTTTACTTAACCCGCTGGCGTATATTTGAATTTTCCATCCAATTATGCTAACGCCCGAGGAAATGAGGCGCATTTTTATTACGGAAACAACGAATTTCAACGGTCTCTAACGCGTTACTTTTTATATACACGAAAATTTCCTTCGAAATAAGTCTCGTTGACTTGCTTCGAAGAAAATTCATCCTCCTTTTTTTTTTCATAGACAACAAAAACACATAGATAGATGGATAGATAACTTAGTTAAATGTCATTTTATTTAAAATCGCTGTTACGCTTTTTCGTTTTCTCGTGAGAAATAATTTATAACCTTGCGTGTTTGATAACAGTCACGCGATCTCCTTTTTCGAACGTTATGCATTGTTCTACTATAAGTCAAGAAGGGCCAATTACCTTTTCCGTACACTTTTCTATTCGTTTAAAAAAAACACGTCTGTCGTGCAACATCGGTTAATCGATTTCTTTCTTTTCTTTTCTTTCTATCATTGTACCTATCAATTTTCCTCTTTTTTTCCTTTACATTACCTCTCAACGTTCTAACACAAAATAATTGTCTATCTTTTACAAATGAATTTTATCTTTCAATTAAATCCTTTTTTTTAGTTTTTAAATTCTTGAAAAGTAAAGAAAATAAAAATCAATCTAAAGGATTGAACAAAGTTACATATTAATTATCGAATATCAGATTGTATGGTAATGCATTTGGACAGAGTTAAATTGTCCTATCGTAAGTGAAGTGTTTAGATAATAGTCACTTGGCAACGGCGATCGACCAGAAGATTATGGTCGAAGTTCATTTCCATCGATCGATGTTTCCAGTCGTGAGAGTAATACCATATAATGAATTTCAATGAAGAAACCGATAAAGGTTGTGGCTTTCTTAATTCGAATATATTTAGATATAATACGTAACGAGCAGTAAGTTAAAAGTACATACGAATGAATGTTATCAATTTATAACTATATTACTGACAAAAACAAATCTTTTTCAATTTATGGACAAAACACATACCTATCGTATTTTATATATACGAGTTGATGTTCAAAATATTATCAGCTTAGGTAAAAGAACGGTTTGAATAATTCTAACTCGCCATTACCTATAATCATCGGTGGATGCGTGTCTCTAGACAAACACGTGGCTCGTTTGTAAGTTAAATATAAGATAAATGGGATACGAGTATTGAAAATAAAAATAAAAAACAAACAACAAGAGAAAAATATTCTATCAGACAAAGTATATATATTATTTTAAACGTAACAATTAATTCGCGATACTTGTGTTAATAAATTTAATATTTATTTTGTAAAGTAATCGTATTTATTTATTATTATTATTTTCGATAACTTTGGTAATCGTAATTTTGATGCATTGAATATCAATGCACCGAATTAATTCTTACACCTAACTATATAATAATAATTAATTCATGAGATGAAAAAAAGAGAAAGATATAAGGGGGAGAGATAAAAATATAAGATAAAAATCGATTTTGAAGTTAGAACAGAGTCGCGAACGAATATATCGGTTTAACGATAAGAGGGAATATGTAAGATATCGCCGTAAGGGTTTCTCCTTACGATGCATTTAAAACGTTTCCTTGGGTATCCTCTTGGTCCATTCATAATCTCTGCTTTTCATTCGATGTGGTACTTCTTTGAAGATGAAGAAGAAGAAGAAGAACCAGGCGAATCAAATTGAAGCCATTGTATAAAGAAAATCTTAACTCATTGTCAGTACTATTATATCACCTACTTGCATTTAACAATGGTATAATATTTCGTTGTAGAAGGTGGTTAGTTGGTTGGTTGGTTGGTTGGTTGGTTATCGACGATTCCACGATACAGGTTTCTGTTTCGTTCGGACCCAAAGCAATCCCTTTGCAACATTCCGTTCTCTCTCACTTTAACATAAACAACTTTTCACAATGAATCGTCGTTGTACGTACGCCTAGGTACATATAGGTATACTCTTAATGTCGCTTTAACCTACATTTTATGAAAGCGCTTTTCAACGCTCCCTATGTTTTTAATTACGCCGTTCGAGTGTTCTTCTCTCTTTCTAAGTCGAAATAATTTCGTTGCGTGTTACCGAAAAGGGAAGTCTACGTTTTTTTTTCTTTTTTGTCCATCTTGCCGTTTATCAACGCTACAACGCGCTCTGAAACATTGCACATTTATCTTGACATGTGTATTATACGTTTGACAAAAAAGTCCTTTATTTATTCATTTCTTTTCATTCGTTTACTATTTGGGGGAAAAAAATTTGATAAATGATATTTTTTTCCTTAACCGAGAGATTTACGTGGTTCGAAAGAATCAGCATGATGGTGATTCTTCTTAATTGTATTACGCTGGGAATGTATCAACCTTGCGTGGACGACCAATGCGTGACGAATAGGTGCAAAATATTACAGGTAAGCACGTTAGATATTATCAATCTATTACGATCTTAATCGTTTTAATGTCACGGTACTTCTGAGAACATTCAAATGCCAAATGTCCAATATATATCTTTGTCTTTTTATTTCTAAACAATTAATCTTCATTATACTGTTCATTATTATATATTAATACAAAAATTTGTAATATCTGTAAGACAATGGATCGTAAAGAATATGTAAAAATAAAATAAAAAAGAAATATAATTTTTTTCTTCAATGTTTCTTTTTTTTTTTGAGAATATCTTATAAATAATTCATAATTCTGTGATAATGAACAATCTATCTTTGTTAATTATAATTAACCGATTAACGGGCACTCTTATATTAGGTATTAAATAGAAGAAATATAATTGTACCTTTTTGATATTCTAACGATTAAGTAACACATATAAAAATAATGTATTAACAATTTAATTAAATTACACATATTCATTTTTAATTACAAATATTTTAGCAAGTTCCCCCATATCAAACTAACATATCGATAATAAAAGTAACTAAGTATATATTTACATTATTGATAGAAATATATATATATATATATATATATATATATTATAAGATATTAACTATTTTATCCTATCATCTAAGAAGTAATTTATCGCATGAAAGGATAGATTGATAGGTGTGAAGAACAATCAAAATAATAATCGATTGATCATTCGAATCGAATCAATTGATTATCTTTGTGTCCATCTCCAACTAAAGTCAAAGAGAAAACGAGAGAGTTGGAGAGAGAAAAAGTTTCTTGTTCATCTCAAAATTGATACTCGGAATAGAATAAAGTTAGAGTAGGAGAAGTAGGAGATACAAGGAGCAGAAACACAATTCATTGTCGTAGGATGCTCATCGATAATCGAATCTCTCGTCGAGTACTCTCAATCAATCATGTTGGATACCCTTGATAGGTCCTTCTACGATCTACCCAATCCCAAGCTATTTTCTTTCTTCATGCATCAACTTGCATCAGCCCTTACACAGTTGAATCTTATTCTTATAAAATTCCTTAATCTTCTTATATTATATAGCTTTCCTTTTTTTTTTTACAGATGTTCGACGACATAATCTTCGCCTTCTTCTCCTTGGAAATGACGATAAAAATGGTGGCAATGGGTATATATGGTAAAGGAACTTATCTCGCTGACTCCTGGAATAGATTAGACTTCTTTATAGTTGCAGCCGGGTAAGTGGCACTTTATTATTTCTTATTCTGGAATTCCTTTCTGTTTCTCTTTCTCTCACTCATGTCAGTCTTTCTATTTTTTTCTCTCTTCAAGGCAAGTTGTTTTAAAAAAAAGCCACGATTTCGTGTCTTCCTTCTATCTTACATTTTCTTTTTCTTTTTTTTCTAATTCCACCACCATCACCTTTCCTTTTTCTTTTTTATTTTCAACGAGCTACCTCGCGACCTTGTATCCTGCAATTTCCGTTTTTGTTCTTTTTCGTTCAGTTAGTCTCGTCACGATTTTCGGCAACGATCGATTATTTACGAATTCGTGAGTGAATGTAGCGTATAATCATGTGGTTTAAACTTTGCACTTTAAAAAATATTGATTTTGTTGTACGACATAAAACGAAATTGGTTGTATAACATATTTCATATTTTGAATTTATAGTTTGATTGTTTTTTGGTTTAATAAAACGTTCATTTTGATTTCAATTTGTTTGGTGAATTTGCGGTAAGAAAATTCAATTTCTTTTCGATTGTGTATGGCGAGATTTTTAATGAAATTTTGTACGTACACTACGTGAACCTTTGATCTCGTGCATGAGCTTGTAACAACGACGCATACGCAAAGTGTTCCCTTTTTTTTCTTCTTTTTGTTGTTTGCTTTTATTCTTTTTCTTTTTTCTTACGAACCTAAATCTTACTTAATTAGAATAGCGAAGAAATAAAAGGAAGCTTTTTAAACTAGAAAAATATTTGTTAGACATATCAAAAGAATTACGAATGATGAATAAATGTTTGATCATTGCTTGTTAAATAAATTGAAAATAAAAGAAGAATGAATGACAACAAAAATTGTGATTTCTAATAGACAAAGTTAGAATAACGATGTTCGATAGTATTCGATAAAAGAATTTGATTAAAAATCGATTTACTACGAAGTTTCAGTAAAAGTCGAATTTAATATGGGGAGGAGTCTATTTTCATATAAGTTGTTTGAAAACTTTCAAGGTTCTCTCATGAATTCGTTCGTTTGTAGAGTAGGGGGGGAGGGAGGGAGGGAAGGTTTATAGTACGTGACGGTGAATATAATTTCTATGAATATAAAGATGTGTATGTGTGTGTGTATATATTGAGAGAAAAATGATTTTTCGTTCGATCGTTTTCAGCGCACTAGAATACTGCCTTAACGTGGAGAACATGAATCTATCGGCGATACGGACGATAAGGGTTCTAAGGCCTTTACGAGCTATCAACAGAATACCGAGTAAGTAGGAAAAAGGTAGTGTGAAATTTTATCGCACGTCATAGTTGATAGGCCTACTCTTTTTCATATTTCTTTGTGTATATGTACATGTATTTGTACGCTCGTGTTAGCGGCGTTTCTCATATGTTAGCAGCAACGTGCACGTTCACGCGTGTGTGTGTTTGAGAGTTCGCGATGTTACGAATAATCTCGGTTTACTCTTGTCATCGATCCGTCTGGGGGTTTTATAGTCGCTTTTATGAGACCGCGTGAAAACTGTCGGCCGTTTTAGGGTTTTTTTTTTTTTTTTTAAAGTCTCTCACTCATTTTCCCTTTCTTTCTCTTTTTTTTTCTTTCTTTATCTTTTTCATTTTTCTTTTTACATGCGAGTATTTTGCTGATACATCGTGTTATGCAAATGTAAACAAACAAGCTTCGTTATTTATACACACGATTTTCGCATCATCTTGCAAACAAGCATGCGCGCGCGTTCAAATCGATTTCAACTACCAACTACCACGAACGACGACAACGACACACGACTACTGACGACTAGAGAAAAAAAAATATAAACAATATAAATATATTACTCTCGTCTTCTCGATCCTTAGTACGAGTTGTATTCTTCCGTGTAGCGGTCATAACCCATCTATTCTAGTATTTTATTATACTTCGTATAAAGAAAATGTATCCTTTTATTTGATATCATACAAATGATAGGGAATTGTTAGCCAGGTAAGCTCACGAAGTATTTAAATTCTGAAATTTATTGGGAAGGGGGTAGAAAAGTAAATTCATTGCTTGCAGTATTTTCTTCCTTGTTATCAAAAGGATTTATGACATTATTACCAAAGAATATTCTTTACGATTATATATATCTACGAGTGAGAAAATAGAACGAATTTCGAATAGTAACGTGGGAATTTCGGTGAAAGAATAAAAGAGAATAAAAGAAAGTGATAAATCTATCGAATCTTGGTGTTATATATATATATATATATA